TTGGTTACATATTGTAACCCAAGACATCAATCTACTAAAGACTGCAGGTAAATTTACAACAAATATAACAGTGAAACATTACTTTTATGTATTTGATTTTTACCTTTTCACAGATTGCATTACTGATTTCACACAAACTCAACACCAAGGCCTGCTGAATTTATCTGGACTTATTCCGATATTGAAGGGCTTATAGAAGAATAGTCTGATTTGTTGCTTAGTAAGATTAGTATAGACCATATCTAGTGTTTCAGTTTATATGCTTCCGAGAGTACATATTGTAATCTAAATTTGGCAAACTGAGCTGTTTCCAGTTGATGTCTGAAATTCAGAGGTGTGTTCTTTACTTGTCTGAAATATGTACTGAAACCAAGTAAACATAGCTTTCAGGATGTTTTTCCTTTTAAGAGGAAAGTGCAAAGACAGAACAATGTGGAGCAGTTAAAAATGCAGCGTAGTAGGTTGAAAATGCACACGTGGCTTGGAGCTATTTTCACGTTCTCGTACTCCCTCTTGAGTAAAAAGAAAACAGTGGTTCTTTTTAAGCCGTGACGGCCAAAATGGAAATGTGTTTATTCTCATAAATCTCCTTTTAAGAAGAATTTGTAACATAGCCTTAGTTATATTTCTCTGCTATATCCGTGTAATTAGTACAGCAGCTTACTCATGCTTGTTTCACTTAGATAATCTTTCTGGGGAAAACAATTTAAGCAACTTAATCTTCAAGTGCGTTTTCAAAATTCTTTGACAGCCAAATGGGTAGTGGGTACTGATGTGGCCCGGAGAGTTTTTCGCATAGGTTGTGGATTAACCTTAAACACAAGAAAGAGGTGATGGGAGGGAGAAATTGCTTGCCACTAGCTGACCAATGCCCAGCCAGTCCCTGAGTAACGGCAGCACCAGCAAACTTCCCTCTGCCAGCTTTTACTGCCAGGCTGTGGCATGGGGTGTCCCTTTGGGGAGCTGTCCCAGCGATGTCCCTCCCCACTGCTTGCCCACGCTGAGCTGACTCGCTGGCAGGGCAGCGTGAGAACCTGAAAAGGCCTTGGCACTGTGTAAGCACCAGAAAAGGCCTTGGCACTGTGTAAGCACCGTTCGGTTATAGCTAAACCATCTGTGTGTTGTCGCTGTTTTCATCACGAATCCAAAACATGGCACTATACAAGCTATCCTGAAGAAAATCAACTTTCTTCCAGTCAAAACCAGCACGTCTTTTTATTTTTGTTAATTCCAAGAAGGGTTGGCTTAATCACTGATGAAGCTTCAGCCAGTGTGCTTTTACACTTAACTGCCTCACTGCTAATGAAACCGTAGTGTGTGTGTCCTCAACTAAGGTTTTTGATGTAAGTTTTAAGAAATTTGTCATGCTTCACATTCTGATTGAGCTGCACACAAGGGTAATTAATTATGCAGGAGGATGTAATTTTATTGTGAGATTGCCGGGTGATGATGATGGGCAAAGGTAATGAGGTAACGGCGGCTTGTTACTATGCTGTAGCCTTACCTGATAGTTCTCTATATAATAAAACTGTGTGGCTATGTGAATGTACTCTTTTTGAGCTTTCTAAGTTATATTTGATTCTTGCTACTGTAGATGTCTCTTGTAAATACATCTTCTGTAATGTAGATGTCCTTGTGGTTTTTGTACGTCAGAGCGTGTTTTGACCTTAAATCTCTGGAGATTTAAGGGCACGTTCTGTCACCATGCAGGGACTTTCCAATGTCTTAACTGTGCAAGCAGACTACATGTTCTGTTTTCGTATGACACAAATACTGCTATATTACTGTAGGAATAGGGAGTGAAATCAAGATGTGGAAAATAGTAGTTTTTAAAAAAATCATGTTTTAGCAGATTTCAAAAGCTAATAAGATTGTTACTTTTTGTGCTTGTGCACACACACATGAGCCTGTTTGTAAACATGGAATAACTGCATTTGTAGCCTAGGAAGGCAAGTTGAATCCTTCTGCTCTGCACAAACTAGATTATTCTTTCCATTCCTGATTGACTTACTAAAACTGGGTATTTTTAGGTTTTACGTGACACATTTGCTTGCTTTTCTCTGACAAAGTACACTAGCTAATCCTTGCTGCTGTGTCTTGGTGCTTGCTATTTAAGCTGGAAATTCCTTCAAATGTCTGTTTTCTTTCCCCTGCAGTTGTCATCTCATGTTTTCTGTATCATGTTGACTCACTGTGGCTTCCTTTTTCAATTCTTGCTTAGTAAATGAACAAGAATGCTTGACAAATACTGTGTTTCTAAAAGAAAACATGGCATACCAAAATGTAAATATTTTCCCTTAATTACTCTTGGATGCTGTGAAGTTGCTTGTGCCCTTTTGACATGGTGAAGGCTCATGCTACAGGCAAGATGAGTTTGGTGTAATTTGTGGAATGGCTTCCAGTGAAAAAGCAGACAGCTTTCACTGAAGATAGTGGAACTGAAATTACGTGCTCAAATTTAAAACAAATCCACTTCAAACAGTGCACGTGGGAGAAGGAAGATAAAACTAATGAAGCAATGTTTTTCTTCTAGATTTTTTTCATTTTATACCTGTGAGTTCCCTGTAATCCAAAGATGGCAGCAAATAAGCCTAAAGGACAGAATTCATTGGCTTTACACAAAGTCATCATGGTGGGAAGTGGTGGTGTAGGAAAATCTGCTTTAACACTACAGTTTATGTATGATGAGGTAAGAATCTGCACTAGAAATTATCTCAGGACATGTCTGCTACATAGTGTTATTTAGCATTCATTAGTACAGTTATTTACAGAAAGGGCCGGAAAGCATATGATGTAGTATGAAAGTCGGCAATTAAATTGAATGAACATATTTCTTGAGATTAGAGAGCAAATCACTGGATACCTGTGAGGGTACGTGGCATTTTTCAGACTTCTGTGCATTTGGATTCTGTCATATTATCAGCACATTTTGTCATTGTTCAGTACACCTATTAGAACTTATTTAAATATTACACCTCAAAGCTTCTTCACTTAAAAGGTTGTGTGATGACTGAGATGATGACCAATTTTTTTCCTTTTTTTTTTTATTCTGCTGTTGAAGAGAGGAAGGAAAAATGTTTCTTGTTTTCTTTTTATTTTTTTCCCAATTAAAGTAATTATTTTTGACTAAAAGGCAGAAATTATAGCTTCGGTGTCCTTTAAAAGTGGACACTAAATATACTCAAGCTTGGGGCTGCCTGATAGCTTAATGGAATGCAGCCAGATGTTGTGCTTGACCAAAAGCAGAGGCTTGGGTAGCGCACAGACACTGATGTTCTACAGTTTCCTCTAAAATTTCCTCATAATGGCTGAAGAAAGCAAAAATCCTATAAACTGTTTGGGCTGATGGAGAGCCCGATTTAACTATAAATCATCCAAGGACTTCACATAGCCTAAATACCTATGCTTACTTATTAGTTACTGTAACCATATAACGCATTTGTTATATTCTTATATGCAAATAGAAGCATCTGCCTTGTACAGGAATGATTTTATATCATGAAGTTGTGGCTTTTTTGGTTTTGTTTGTTTGTGTTTTTAATAGTTTGTTGAAGACTATGAACCCACCAAAGCAGACAGCTACAGGAAAAAGGTGGTTCTGGATGGGGAAGAAGTCCAAATTGATATATTGGACACAGCAGGACAGGAGGACTATGCTGCAATTAGAGACAACTACTTTCGGAGTGGAGAAGGCTTTCTTTGCGTCTTCTCTATTACAGAGCTGGAATCCTTTGCAGCAACTGCAGACTTCAGGTGAGTTCCAAGGCAAGATAATTATTCCAATTACAGTGAGATAATTACAAGTGATTTTGTTTGTTTGTTTTGCAATATCCTTATGATAGTCCACACTGGAAGACAGATCTTACTGTAGTCACCTAATGTTTTGAACAGATGCCCAGCTGTGCCTTTGCTCTCTGTACCACTTCAGATACCTTTGCAGCTGTGTTTCCGAGTACCAAAAAGGCTGTGGCCGCGGAGCAGACACATAGCAACATTCAGAAGGCTTCTGCCCTTTGTAAACCAGAGTTGCTTGTGTTGAGAAGTAGCATTTGTGAGTAGGCGTACTGCGATCCAAAGTAATGGATCTGAGGAGAATTGCTTGTAGGCTGTACGGTCACATGTCATGTATGTACGATACAGCCTGTGTACAAATGCAGTTGGCTTGCAGGCTTATGCTAGGTATTGTCAGTCGTGGAGGACTATTTCGTTGAGTTCCCCCAGACTGCAAAATTACCTATTCAAATCTATTTAAGATCCTGGTAATGCTTCAAAGTACATGATCTTCCATGGCTCCTACTTTTCCAGCAAAGGTGGATGTTGTCAGTATATATGTGGATACAGCAAAAATGCAAGAAAAAAATCCTTTCAATGTACGGATTTAAAACTGTCCCCAGTCCATATGTGAAACTGTAAAAGCCTAAATGCTAAAAAGTAACTCGGAAAAATTTCTTTCTCCTCTGTGTAAAAGTAACCTGTTTCTCTTGAGGGTACAGTTAAAATACCTTGGGTTGTTGAGCAGCCTGAGGGAATACTACTTAAGAGTCAGATATGAAAGAAAGTGACAAGAAGAATTTGGATGTTTGTTTCCATGGAATTTTGTTTGGCTGGAATGGCAGAATTCCAATGAGAGAACTGTTTACTCAATGCCTTTGACAGAGTTCCTGGTGTGCTCTGAAATGTCATTGCCTCGAATAATTGTTTTCAATAGAAAGCAGACCTGCAGCAACTAAACTTTTAAATATTTTAAAAGCAGTTTGGTAAAACGTGGTCTCGCTTTGAGTAGAACTGATCTGGCTTTAATGATTTATTTTGAGTTCTAGATTTCAGGCTGGCATATCATTAATTATTTCTTGTTCAGGAGATATCAGTCTTTAGAGAGGGCTCAAAGGAGATTATTGTCGGATTGCTGTTAGATTAACTCTTTGTGGTGAAATTGTTTGGCATCAGCTGAACAATTAGGTTTTAGCAGAAGTCTTACTTACATAGATACTGGAGTGAGTTTTGTTCTGGCCACCCTTCTTAATCCGCTGACTAATTAACAACTTTGGAATACCTGCAGACTGTGTTAAAACATTTGCAGGGGAGAGGAAGGCAATTACACCTCAGAGATGAATGTGGCATTACAAGCTGCCTCAAAATATGTATTTGTTGATTTAAAAAAAATTTTGGGCTATCTGCAGTTTCTCAGCCCTGTGAGTAACTTCCTCCACAGGGCTGGGTGCTATTCAGAGCTTTTTATAACAGCAGGAGGATCTTGCTGTTTACCAAATCGAGACCCTTTAGAATATCAGTTAATTAACTCTCTTCAGCTTCTCTCCGTTCAACTTTAAATCTGGCAGTAGATTTTACCTCAGCCAACAAAAGGAATTTGTTTCTCTGTGCTTTTTGTCGATCTTTCAGAAATTGTTCCAAGATAAAGAGCTTCATTTCACTGCTTTTAATTAATTTCCAATTAGAAGAAATGTTTCACTATTTTTTTGTGCTGAAGATTAATGTACCAAATAATATGTAGTACTGAGTTTTATTTATAACTTTAAATCCTTCACCCCAGCAGTTCAAATAGTAGAAGGGTCTGCCCTTAAAAATCTGATTTATGTACAACTTGTATCTGTGCACTGGTATATAACCAAATGAAGATCTCTGCAAAAACTAAATATAATTGGCTTGAGAAAGATTCCTGAAAAGAAGAGATTTCCTCGCAGTGTGCTGTAGACCATTTTGTCAGCTTTAAAAATGGCACATGCATTTTGTTAAGAAAAAATCAAATGTAAAACTGAAGTAGCTTAAAAATGGCAGTCACAGAAAGTAATATCAAGACAATGGTAAATGCTCTCAAGCAACACCTTTATTAAAAGGAATGACTTATTAATATAAATTCTCACCTAAAGCAATCCTGTTATACTCTTTTAGTTTCTTAGTGACTCACCTCCTTCCTTCCTGGAGGACTAATTGTCTGTCTCTGTCTTCATTTTGTATAATGTCATAATGAGGTTTTACTGTTACGTAAGCTTCATAAAAGGAATAAGTGGGTTTTCACTGTAAGATGGAAAAGTATTTAGTCTGAGTTCTTTTTGTATTCTAAGAATAGTACTCCATGCAAAGATTAATTTTCCTCTTTTTTTTTTCCCTCCAGGGAGCAGATCTTAAGAGTAAAAGAAGATGAGAATGTTCCTTTTTTGTTAGTTGGTAACAAATCAGATTTAGAAGATAAAAGGCAAGTTTCTGTAGAGGAAGCAAAAAACAGAGCTGATCAGTGGAATGTTAACTATGTGGAAACTTCTGCAAAAACACGAGCTAATGTTGACAAGGTAATAACTGTGCTCTTAATACCAAGAATCTCTCCATCTGTTTTTACCTTACACCTTCCTTCTGTCAGTCATGCTCTATATGTTCATTATTTTAGCAATTTTTGTGAAATTTGAAAGAAATGCTTTACCTCTCTTAGCTTGTGAGGAGTGCATGACTAGGTGACTTCATGCGGAACAGTGAAAATGTTTGGCTTAACAAGTTTATCCCATCCTAAACTGCAAGGAGTTGTTGTACGAGACCTTATTTCATAAAAAATTTCTCTTGGCCTAGAGTTCTCACTGTGTTTCTTGTAACTAGAAGACATTCTGCTTCTGAACAGTGAGGCATGCTGTCTGATCCTCAGCTAGAATAAAAGAGCTTATAGAAGTAGGTGAGGGAGGGATAGGAGCCCACTCGACCCTCATGTAACCAGATGCCCGGTTATATTTGACTTCAATGAAGAATGGATGAACCCTTTTAAGATTTGAACAGCCTATAAGTGCCTCATGAGTTTTCAGGGATAAAACCTGCTTCAGGAGGCTGTGAGATAAGAGACAAAGAATCTTTGTCTCCAAGAAGATAAATTACTGATTAGTTCTAAGTATTTCATCTATAACTGTAAAAGACAGGACTTCTTGCAATACCGAATTCAGAATAACTCTTGGCCTTGTAGACTGCAAATGTGTGGCAAAAAAAATAAATAGCTTAGTTCAGTATGTCAGTCTTGCCTTTCAGAGCTATTGGCAGGTTTGACCACACATTGAAAAAAATCTCAGATGTAAATTCTTAAGTATGAGTGGTCAATTGCAGCATGACGGTGGTAATGTGAACTCTCTTTTGCAATAATTTAACCTTGACTGTTGTCTCCTGTCAGTTGTTGTCCTCAAGAAACTGATTGTTCAGTGCTACACTAAGAACTACATGCTGTTTTGTGGAAAAAAATGAATCCATTAAATGCAGCTGAACTCAGTCTCATTGCTGAAAACAGTCTGATATTATTTTGTTGTTGTTATGAAAACTAGTACATCCTATAGTTTTGGTGCAATTGTAGTTAACATCCATCTATTACAGACATGACATTAATAGAAGTAACCACTGTAGTCATGTAGAAACTTCTAGATCTTCAAAACCCACTTCACTATCATTTAGCAGCTGGGAAAAAAATGTGTGTCTGTACATATATGTTTTTGTACTAACTCTCTAATCGATAGCTCTTGCACACACCTGGTGGGCTACTATGGAGTTCCAAGTTTCCTTTTGGACCTGATGGCATTATGGATCCAGATTAGCATTCACCATATAAAATTAAGTTTTGACAGGCCATAAAATGGGGTTTTGCTGGCACTAGTAAATACCAAGTATTCTTAGTTACTTGGAACTTCTGAACTTATGGGGCTTGTTATGCAAACTTAAGTTACTATTCTGTAATAAATCTAGCCGGATTCCAAAATAGTGGGTTTGCTCGATTGGGGAAAACACAATCAGATTCCACTTCCTTTGGTAAAGGTGACCCACTTAAAATCTTCTCAGAAGGTCACATACCCCAGACAGCTAAATACTGTGCTTAAGCATGTGGACAGTTGCATCTTACCATTAACAAAGGTTTAAGTACAAACAAGTAAGAGTGCACACTTAGAAATGCAAAGGCAATCTTGTTTCTTGAGGGAAATGTTTAGTTACAACCATTTTCTTTGCATCCTGTGTAATGAAGACTGGTGGGTTTACTGCAGGCTATATGAGATTAGCGTAATTGCAAATAAAAGCCTACCAAGCTCTTAGAGGACCTTTTCTGCCCCTGTGTTTCACAGAAATCGATCAAGTCCGCTGACGTAGATCTAGAGGATCTCCTGAGAGAGAAAAGTCTTAGAATTCCTCAGCTGATTTCCTACAATCAAATTGTAAAGATGAAATGGTTATTTACTGTAGCTTCCTGCGAGTCAAGTCAAGATCTGATTTTCAGATCAATAAAGTAGCTTAAAGCATCCTGCCTTAACTGGCAGGAGGATCTCTCTGGTCTATTTCCAATTTTGTCATTTTTGTCCCCTTCTAAACCAGTTGATGAGAACTTAGAGATTGACCTGATCTAAAACAATTATTTATGTAGTTGTATGATTGATAACTTTGCTTTAAAGGAAATGCTAGTTTATTTTTTTTTCTCTAGTCACTTTGTCATGGGACGTCTCTAGTCACTTGCATCATCGGATGTACTGACCATGAAATGTTCAGTGTATGCTACTGCTTCATAGATATGTTTCTAGAATTGGCACTTTTTCAGCTTTTATAGTTCCATCACTGAAAATACTTGGAATGTAAACTGATTTCCCTGAGTCTTCTAAGCAATATGTAGATAATACATTTTTAAAAAATCTATACTCTTTTTTCAGTCCTTGTAGAAAATTGTCTGACAGGATTCATAAGCAGGTATCAGGAGATGAGAATTATAAAAGAAGCAAAACTGCATCGTATCAACTTGGCCTTCAAGACCAGTGAAAGACTTGTTGGCTTAATGTTTGCTTAAACTCATTGCATATAACTGACTTTATTCTAAATAACTGAAATCGATCTCATCGGTGATAGCCTAACTCGTGTCTGTGACTGGTTTTGCACTTATGTTCTTACATCTTTTTTAGGTGTTTTTCGATTTAATGCGAGAAATTAGAGCCAGAAAAATGGAAGACAGCAAAGAAAAGAATGGGAAGAAGAAAAGAAAAAGCCTAGCTAAGAGGATCAGAGAAAGATGTTGCATTTTATAATCGGAACCCTGATCTCCTTTCCTACCCTGATCATACTAATAAAATCCATAATTTATAAGCATGCCACTGAAGGCTCAAGTGACTGAAATTACTCTAACATGTTGGAAATAGTAATGTACCACTAAAAGCATGAATTGGAGCTGCACTGAAAGTCAAATTCACTGAAGAAAAAAAAAAAGAAAAAAAGATATGGCTTCAAGAGAAGCAAAGTTCAGTCCATTTCATACTTGCTGACCTTCTCACATTTCTTCTGAATGTAGTGTTTCATAGGCAGTCTTTTCTTTAATAGTGAACAGAGGGGGGAAGTATTACTTTGTGGGTTCTTGTAAAGCATACTTTTTTATCACTGGTAATTGTCAATTCATCTTGTCTTTTGTTGCCTTGAAAATTACAATTGTGAACATGATACCTAACAAAGCGGTATGCAGTTGTTTTACCATGGAGTTATGCAAATTAGAAAAAGAATAATGTATATGTGAAGTTATGTTGGGGGAAAATTATATGTGGTTCTGCATTACCTGATTAACTTAGAAGAGTGATGTAATCTTTATACATTGAAACATTTGAATATGCCTTAACTTTAAAACCTAAGCATAGCAGGTTGCTTAATCAAGGGTGTATTTTCAACGTCGTCGCATGGAGACTGTCCCCACACATCAGTGCGTGACTGCCCTCTCTGGAGTGCAGTTAACGTAAACGATTTCGCTACCTAGCTGTCTGCTAGCAGTGTCTGTTCTTTAAATGTGTGCCATACTCTGGTCTTGTGAATAATACAGAGCATATTCTGTCATCTGTAACGTGGTGAACAATGCGGTATCTTAAAACTAAAAGGTCAGAATTACATGTAAGGCTGAAGTCGTAAAGCCTATGGCACATCTAAGCCTGGAACCATTGTCTCAGTGTGCTGGTACCTTGCAACTTCCCTTCTGTGAGTAGGTTTTTGTACAGATGTTCCTTGGGTTTAAACTCCCTGCAATGGGGTGGAGTGGAGCTGATGCAGTAGCGCTAATGTGTTTTGAGTTAAGGTGTTGTCCGGGAAATTCTGGTGTCATCAGTTAATTTCTTTTGTGTTCCTAATACTCAGCCGTGGGAACATGCTGTGTTATGCTGAAGCTCTTTGCAGGTTTTGTACTGTTTAGTTTATGTTGATGGTTTGTTTGGGTTTTTTTTCAAACAGGGAACATTGTAGCTACTTTTTTTAGTTAATGTTGATATTAAACAATCAAACATGCTTTGCAATACAGAAACATTTACCACGTGCATCCAAAATCCCCAGATGAAACATACTGCCTTGGTTGCTTCAGAACCGCAAGAATATCAGCACAGGGTTGGTATGCTGCATCTTAACTAAAAATATACCAGAATGTTTGAGGGTTTTGGACTCCTGGGGTGAGACAGGCTAGATCTATTCTACAAACTGTTATACTTTTTATACATGTAAGCCTATAACTGACAGTTTAAAATGTGCTCAAGCAAACTAGGTAACAAATATTTAACTTTCCATGCTAAAAGACGTTTTAGGGACTCAAGTCTTAGAAGTTATATTTGTCATGTTAAATATTTATCAATAGGAATTTTGTATGTGCATTTAGTAGACTGCCAAGTGCAGAATTAAAGTTACTCATGTAACTATGGCAAATACGCCAGGCTTCATCTTACTGTGTACTCATTTGGGTCTATTTAGCCAGGGAGTCTAACCACTAACATTGTGACTTTGCTTTGGAACCTGTATACTGGGAACTGAGGTGTTATGAAGCCACTTGACACATGAAAGTTGTCTTGGCTGATGCCTTACCGTGTCCTTCTATTTGCTATTTGAGCCATTGAAAGATGAATAAACTTCCATTTTTTTTAAATGCTTGTGCAGTGTTAATTGATAACTATACTATTGATAAACTTTACTATTGCTGATGCCATTTGTCAAGCAGTTAAACCTAAATATTCCAGAAGACTTTTTCATGTGCATAAAGAAAATGGTAGATTAAATCTAATTAGTCTGACAAGGAGCCCCTTTGTAAAAGCTAAGACTATGCATGTTTACCTTTTATCCAAAGCTCATTTACCCCTACTTGCTGTAACAAAGAATATCAGACAACAGGCAAACAAACTGAGGTAAGCTTGTTCCAGAAGTATGTTTTCATAAGAAATGGAAAGTGAGATGTAAAAAAAAAAAAAAAAAGAGCCCAAACGAAAAAACAGCCTGCGTAAGTGTTAATAATAAAATAAAAAAGGCATTCCAAGTAATTTTCTTTTAGCACGGTCGATGAGAACATGTGCATGCTCCCTCAGCCTGCAGGGTATCTAGCTTGTATTGTGTACATAGGATTTGGGTACATCTTGAGAGAAAGTCATCCAAACTGATATGTATATACATATATGTGTATATACACATATATTGCATCAGAGAGGAGTATTTGGTTTAGCCTACTCTGGTGTCTGAAACTCCCCAGTCTATCTGCCCAGAGCGCTGCTGTGCCCTAGAGCACTTTTCTTCCGCTGTTTCTCTTCCAAGAATTCAAAGATTTTCTTACACTGGCAGGATTAAAGTCTTCCCTGGTATTCCCAAGTTAGCCTAACACTGGCAGTATTGTTGCTACCTATTGTGAAATGCATTGTACAACTGCAGACCAGAGAGAGAGATGCCTTAATTTGTAATAAGCTATAAGGTTCAGTCTTATGTATGAAACTAATACTGAATTCTTAGGCCAACTCCACGCACATAATACGTGTAGCTGTACCAGAACGTGTTCAGAACAAGGCAAGACTGAGCCTAAACTGCGAATTGAATAGGGAAAGTCAGTAGTGCACCTCAATTCCTAAACTTTCTCCGATTGCTGTCAGACCTGTTGGCTTTTCTAGCCATGTGGCTGCATAGTCAGTTATGTGTGTAAATTATATTTCTTTCCAGACTTGCTCTTGCTGATTTTTGGCTGTGATTTTAACAAGTAAATGACTGGGTACGTTTTTAAAAGATGACTCATGAAAGAAACCTTTCCTTGCATATTTCTATGGGAGCTTCAGCTTGTTACTAAAATTGAATAGGAAAGGTGCCAATGTTGCTAATGCTGGAGTGTAAGCTAATCTTTGATCTCAGTACATTGACCAGACTGGAAGATTTTTAGTTGACGCTTTATTGTCAAAGAAACGCTGAACTGCATACCACTTAAGATCTGCCCAGGATCAGACAGATGCAATGATTCATCGCATTTTCAGAGATCCTCACTGGATCTAACAAGCCACCTAAATTGTACAACCCATTTTGAGAAAATATTCAGAAGATATATTTTAGTTTGTGTGTGCTAGGGTCTTTTTTTAATTTCTTTTGTGCCGAAGGGAAAAATACCCAAGTTCGTTAGAAAAATTTACTTTCCCGCCACCATCCTCTTGATTAATATCTCAATCACTAATATTTAACACTCCTACAGCCTTTAATATGTGATAACTGTTGTTTGTGGATTTCAGTGGGGCAGTTCCAATTTTAGAGAAGACTGTTCTGTCTTCTGGATGCAAAGAACACTGGCAGAATTTAGCCAGCTGACTCGGTGGGCGGGTAGCGGCGTTAGCAGGCTTAGCACTCCCATGTTACTCTGATGCCTCGTTCTGACTCAGGCAAGGCAATTACCGACTTTCTTTGCTGATCCGGTAAGGCTGTGTATGAAACCATATGTGTCCTGTAAAGCAGTCGAGATGGGAATATCTGAAAACCTGAATGACTGAATTCCAAACCACGGCATCCAATTACACTTTTCAACTTCTGCAAGGACATCCTCCACTGATGGATTCTGAAGTGTTAAAAACCAAGCTTCTTGTCTGCATGCCAGCAGCGTAGAAGCACATGACTCTTTATGAGCGGGTAACTATGTTATGCTGTATATATGGACATAAATCCTGCATGTAAAACAGTTTTGGGAGTGGAGTAGAAGACAAGAAGGAAAAAAGTGGTGCTGGTGGCATCTCAGACCCGTAATGGTGAGTTGTAGCTGTGTGGCACCAGGGCTTGCTTCAATCTGTGCTCTGCTTTGTGTAACTGTCCTGCAACATTCAAGAGAATATTCTGGTGTTTGCCCATTTTGTATCTTGCCAAATAAGGAATGGAGGAAAGGATAGTTTCCAACCTAAAAGTGTGCATTAAAGGTAAGCGGACACTAGAATGCTCTTAAAAGTGTCAAAATACAGGGAAATATTTCATTGCTCCATTATTTTCTTTGAACTCTGTTAAACAGAGGTGAGGAGAATGATGCGTGTTTAATATCCTATTAAAGTTCTAGGAGTACAACGTTGGAAAATTTCTTGGAAAAAACCAATCCTGTAGCAGATAGTCTGTTAGGATTATAGTTTTGGTCATTTTTGTATGCCTGGAAGTTGTGATTTGTATGTGCTGGAAGTTGTGATTTCAGAAATCTCAGTTCCTGGCATGAATTTCAGGCTTAATTTTCCCTCATAACTGGCAGTTTAAGAAAAGTTTCTTGTAATTAACAGACAACACAGAGCTCATTTAAAAGCATGTTCAGGGGACAGCCACCCATCACAATGTTTACAGATGAAGGTGGGTGAACCAGGAGAAGGGCAAGGGGCTTGCCAGGTCTGGGAACAAAACCTGTCAATTGCTAACAAATCGAGGCAGGGAGGCTGCTTTTGCCCCATTGGGGTCCATTGGGAAGGTGCCTGCAGCTGCCTCAGGGTCAGCAGAACTACATTCATCTGCCAAGGTACCCATGGCTAGCATGCTGGGGTGCCTGTGGATATGTGACTCCAAGCAGCATCTAGAGGTTAATTACAGGTTCTTTAGGAACCAATTATATTATGCTGGAAATGGAGGGGAAAAAGACAGTAGAATGTTGATTCAGAAATACATATCCACTTATCGACCTTGGTAGCAATCTGATTTTTGCTCCTTGTCCATTTCTATTTGGATTTGGCTGTGTTTATGGCAGGAGAGCGAGGAGAGGAGGCAGAAGCTGATTCCTGCGCCACCTAATGCGAAGCAGCATCTTTCACGTGCAGCTGAAGAAGCATGTGATGGGAAAAGGGAGAAATCAGGAAGCGGCTAGAACCCAAGTG